CTTATTAAGCCCATTTTACTTTAGCTTTTATAGGCCCCCTTAGCGCCTATAGATAGCTAGCGGCTAATAAATAGTTTTTAATCTATTTATAGATTTCTATACTAATAGTCCTATTTATATACTTTCTAAAGTTTAAAATAATTTATAATAATATTTTACCTTTTATATATATTATTATAAAAGCTACTTTAATTTTATCTTTAATATTAAATATTAATTTAAAGTAAAAATTAAATTAAAATAACTAGTTATTAAGCTTATTCTTTTTTTATAAAAAAAGTTAAGTTTTAAAAATTTAATTTTATCCTTTTTAGTAGTAGTTAATTAATATATTATTTACCTTTACTAAAAATATTATCTACTTATTATAAATCTAATTATATTTATTTTAAAAGTATTTAATATATTATAATTCTAGTATTTAAATTAGTAAATAATATTAATTAATCTAACTATAAATATATAAATTAGTTCTTTTAAAATATAAATAGTAGTTAAAAGATAAATAAAAATAAAATAGTAAAATAGAATTAAGTTATAATTATTTTAGATTTTATAATAAGGAATAAAACTTATATTAAATATAAAAAAATCTATTTAAAGAAAGGAATAAAAGGTTATATATATATAATTTTATTTAACCTACTTAATAGTATTTAACCTTTAATTATTTTAAGCTTACTTAATTTAAAAGTTACTTAGTACTCTTAGCGTTTAAGTATACTTAAGTACTTTAGCTATTTTTTCCTCCTTTTAATTATTTTTTCTTATAACTTAATATAGCTATAGTCTCTATCCTATAATAGTTATCTAGTCACGCCTATTATATAAAGTTATCATACCTTACTTCTTCTAAGAAGAAGGTTATTAAAGTGCTCCTAATTAATAAGTATTTTTATTATTAAGTAAAAATACTTTTTTCTAATTTAATAATAAGGAAGATTAGTTAAAGGTAAGCGGTCTTTAGTAGTAGTTTCTAGTAGTAAGGCTAGTACTTTAATTAATTAATATAGTTAACTAATATAATAGAAGGTTATAATAAACTAGAGCCTTTTAAGAAGTTTTAACTAGAATATAAAAAACTATTTAAAATAACTAAGCTAGGCTAGTTTAGTAGGCTAGACTATAAAGCTTATATAATAACTTTTAAAGGATATTTTAATATACTAGAACGCTATAAATAGATATTACTAAGATAGTACTTAGTAAGTATTATTACTAGCTATTAAGCTAGTAAAGTAAAGAGGTTAGAATATAATTATATTAGTTAAAAATAAAGATTATTTCTAGATATAGTAGCTTAGATACAAGGCGCTATTTTATATATATTAAATAAGACCTATTTTTATTAAGTACTATTTTTATTATATTACTTTAATAATTAATAAAATAATTAATACTATAGAATTCTATTTATAAAATATTATAAAATAATATAAATTAGCTAGTACTATAATATTATAAAATATAAAAAATTAAGTTTTTATTTTATAATAGTTTAAATATTAATAGTTTAAACCCCTTCTTAAAGTAATTAAAAGTATTATTAATTATACTTTATTATAAAATTTATTAATCTTATTAAAAATTAAGCTTAGTCTCTTAGTTTTAACTATGTAAAATAATAATTAATAATTATATTATTAAGAAACTTAAATATAATTAACTATATTATAAAGTTACTTAATAAAAATAGAAATATATAAAATAATATATAAAATTTACTTAAAAAATATATTAAAAAAATTTAAAATAATTTCTTATTATAGCTTAAATCTTCTAGAAATATAGTTTTTATAATTAATAATAATATTATTTAACTATTTTAATAAAAAGCTAAGGTAAAAAAATAAATTATATAATTAATAATTTTTTAATTATATTTAAAGTATTTAATATCTTAATTAATATAGCTATTTATTTCTATCTTAGACTCTTTATAACTAATATAAAAATATATCTAAATAAAAAAAAGGATTATTATTATAATCTAATTTATATATTTTTATTTATATAAATTTAGTAAAATTAAAGGCTTAGTAAATATTATAAGTTATTTTTATATATTAATAAATTTATTTAAACTAGATAATTAATATATAATAATTTTTATTTAATATATAAATAGGCTTTCTACTTAAAATAAAGTTAATTCTTTATCTTTTCTAGGCCTTAGGAGCTAGTTTTTATTACTAAGTAAACTCTTAATATTAATATATTTTTTTATTAAATAAAAACTACTACTTTATTATTTATTTAAACTATATTAAGACTTTAATAGCTAATACAATTACTACTTTTTATTATATAAATTTAAATATTTTTAACTTTATTAAAAATTATAATATATTTTAAATCTAAGAGAATAATAACTTAACTTAAGAAAATAAAAATATTTATATAAAAATACTTTTAAATTAATATAATTATATAAAAGACTAATAGCTTAAGATAATAATATAAATAATATTATAAAATTAAGATATAATAATTTTATATTATATTTTATTTAAATTTTTAAATTCTATATTTATTTTTTATTATTTTTTATATATAATAAAATTAAATAACTACTTAGTTATATTAGATATATTACTTATAAAATAATAATAAAGTTCTTTAACTAGACTTAAGAAGCTTAAGCTTTTATTTTTTAAATAAAGTTAATTATTATAAAGGATTAATTAAGAAAATAAAAAAGTTTTTATTATAATAAATAAAATAAATATGTTATTTAAAAAAATATAAAAAATACTTTTTTTAAAAGAAATTATATTTTTATAATAAAGATTTTAAAAGTTTTATAAATTTTTAATAATAATAAATTTAGTTTAATAATAATATAAATTTAATAAAATTTTATAGTCTTTTATATATTATTTATTTTATTAATAAAATTATTTCTTATTTTTTCCTTTTTACTTATAATAATTTATTTTATTATAATTCTTATAATTTTAAGACTATTAATCTTTTTTCTATAATAAGTTTTTTAAAAAAATAAAAGAAAATAATATATTCTAATAATAAATTTCTTAATTAAAGTATAATGTTCTTTTAAATATTATTATTAATAATTAAAATAAATAACTTTAAGCTAACTATTTTATTAATAGCTTCTTTATATAATTAGTTACTTTTTTATTATATAATATCTTCTTTATAAAGCTATAGATTTTTTTAAAAAATATATATTTAATATAGAAGAAGAATATATATTATAATATATATAAAGCTAAGGACTAGTAAAAATTTTTTATAATAATAATAGATAATAAGAAGTAGTAAAGATTTAAAATAAATTAAAAAGATATAGAGTATATATATAGTTATATACTTACTTACTTACTTATTTATTTTTTTATTTTTTTATAAATTTATTTACTTAGCTAATATTATTTTATATTTATAAGATAAGTATTAATTAGTAGAAAATATATTATAATATAACTTTTTAAATATATAATTTAATTAATTTCTTTAAAAGTATAAATTTATATATATTATAATTTCTTTATTATATATATATTACTATTAACTAAATAAATCTTTATATATATTTTCTTATTTTCTTTATACTAGCTTTATTATTATATTATATATTATATTTCTTTATAATATATTTACTTTATAAAAATTAAAAAATAACTTCTTTATTTTCTTTAAACTTAATTTTTCTTAAGAATTTATTTCTTTTTTAAAGAATTCTTTTTTTATTTTAAATATATATTATTTTATATTTTTTAAGTTTTCTTTTTAATATTTATTTTTTATTAAGATTAAAGTTTAAATTAAAGTATATATATTTAATTTATTATAATAAATAATTAATAAATATTTTTATTTTCATTTATAATATTTTTATATAATTATTTTATAATAACTTTATTATTTCTTTATTTATTAATTAAAACTTTAATTTATATTAAAATTAAAGTTTTTTTTAATATTATTATTAATACTTATTTTCTATTAATAGGGCCTCTAGAAGCTTAGATAAGTCTAATTACTTAATTAGGCCTAGCTTAAGTTTATTTAACTTAGTATAGCTCTTTATTTATAATTATATTCTTAGATAACTTATTAAATAATTAATTAATCTAATATATTATAAAAATTTATATTTATATAAGTTTACTTTTATTTTATTTTTAATTATTAATATAAAAAGTTAATTATTATAAATTAATAAGTAGACTAATAATTAAAAAATCTTTATTTAAAAATATATTTACTTTATTAAAATTAAAATATAATTTCTAAAATATATAAAAAGAATTAAACTTATTTAATTAAAATTATTATAATAGCTTATCTTTTTAAAATACTAAGTTTAAGTTTAGTTTTTATTTAATATTATTTATTAAAAGTTATATTATTTAATTTTATTCTTTTATATATAAATATATAAAATAATAAAATAATATTATTTTATTTTTTATTTTATTAATATATTAAAATAAATAATAATATTATTTTATTTCTAATCTTAGTAATATATTTAAATTAATATAAAAAAAATACTATACTTTTTTTATATTTTAAATTTATTATTATAAATAATTCTTAAATTAAGTAAATATTAATTAATTATTTATATACTTAGTAATTAATTATAAAGTAAAAATAATATATTTTAATATACTTATATATATAATATATTCTAATCTATTATATAACTATAAACTTAATTAAAATTTATGTATAGACTAGAATTATTTAATAAAGATTCTATTTTAATTTTATTATACTTACTTTATTAGCTATATTATATATCTAGTTTTAATATAGGATTATATATTAGTTAATATTAGGTTATATACTAATCCTAGAGCATTTAAAGCAAGGTAGGCAGTAGGGCCAATATTAAGTATTGTAATTATGTACTGTTTAGACGATGCGGGCACATGGATATCTTTAGTATTAAGAATGTTTTGTATTGATATGTAGCTAATAGGCATTCGTAGATCTCGTCCATCATGCCGACATCGTCAGGCGTGTCACTCATCTACTGCAAGGTCATCTGCCAGACGGAGCGCCTGTTCGCTTTCGGCCAACCCGATGATTTCTTTATTGTACCATTTTCGGTACTCTGTAACGCCCCATTTCAGTAGAATATGCAGACTATGCACGAGTTTCCAGCCGCGTTCGAGGTTCTTGGTGCTTCCAATGTCGATAGGGCCCAGCATCACCTGCACAAAGGTTAGTCTAGCCAAACGACAGGGTGAAGCGGGTATACCAATTGGTCTTCGACTACCGAGAAGAACAAGAACAATGTCCAATCATGCCCATCTACCGCAATGCCTGGCATTGGAAAAGTAGTGTCCCATTCGTGCATCTTGCGCTTTTTGTATCCCGCCTGCGCCCAGATCGCTAGCTGGACGCGAGGATCCTTATTCTGAGCCGCCTTTTTCAATTCAATGTCGAGGCAAAAGGGGAGATTTCGGGCGAAGGAATACGTTTGATTCAGGGAGTGCAGCCATATGTGATCATATTGAGAGTACTTTTCGGAGATGAGTGTGCTTTCATCATGGGTTGGAAGCAGGGCAACGCCCCAGTCTATCATGCGAGTGAGTGGCCGACCATCTTCAGAGGCAGTTGTAGTATCCTCTTGTGTAGTCTGAGCATTATTGACGATTGAGCATCCACGAATGGAAGGTTGAAGCTCGATCGGTTCAATGGCGGAAGTCTCGCTTTAACACGACGCGTTAGTCGCTGGCGCATCATCCTCAGACTGACATCTTACATGTTCACCAACCAAAGCTGCACCTGCCTGTGTTCATCACGTGGAATCCAATCAATCACTTGATGCAGAAGTTGGGCGGCCGTGTTTCCCCACTGTCTTTCGTGTGCCCCCGTCTCCTGATTCCATGCAGCCTCTGCTAAGATATCATCCAGTTTTTCTTTGAAAACATCCAGTCTTACACCATCGAGGGGCACCGGCACAGGTGTAGGTCCGAACAGAGAGTGTGGTGGCATGGCCTTGCTCTTCTCCGGCGTCACAATGTCTGCTTTATATTTTGACTACACCGCGTCAGTGGCAAACTCTCTTTGAGTCAGGCTGGCGCGTACCTGAAGCTTGGGAGGTACGAGACCAAAAGGTACTGCATCAAGCTCCTTGTGAAGGTCGAGAACTGCCTGCGGAACAGCAGCCTTGTACTTCTTTCTCGCCGCAGTCAAATCGATGAGTGCCACAGAGGGCAAGGCGGTCTCCAGGTTCTTCAAGTCGAGCGACTGGAGATTACATATTTTGTTCAAGCTCTTGCCGCGCTGGGACTTATCTGGGGATCGCGTCTTTTGCTGAGAGGTCTTCGAGAATTCTGGAGGTAGGAGCTTGGGGGGGCGACCACGTTTGCGGGGCTCTTGGGGCTCTTGATCGCCCATGGTTTTTGTGTGTGTCACGAGGTGCTTCTCTGTGAGGGAGGTTGTATCCTGTCGTTTACGCTTTCTGGGATTGGGAATCTGGCTGTTGGGAAGAATTTCAACAAGAGGAGTGCGAGGTGCAGAGGCTCTGAGGCTCATGCTATGTTTGCCCCCATGTCGCGCTCTTGTCTGCTCAATAGCGATGCCTTTCGCGACATTGTGATTCCAAAGGTGAATGCGCAACTCTCTGCAAGATTCCATGTCGTACAAGCTGAAAAGTCGAGTGAATGAAAGACGCGAAATGAAATGAGGGCGGGGACATGAGCGCGGACTTACTTCCGCTCGCAATCACGTGACTGCACCAAGACTTTTCGTCGGGCTGGGAGGGGGATTTCACTGCTCCCGTGCACTTTTGTATGTAGCTCTTTGAAGAAAGATAGGGCAGCAGGGAATGGCACAGACATGAGGGGACACACCTCTACTGTCGGCATGGTACGTGTGCGAGGGGCTGAGGCGTTATGGCCGTGGATGAGCAGATGAACAAGGTTGAATGCTGCTGTATAAGAAGAGACAACAGGTCCGCTCAGAATCTGGTGGGGATTGCCATGGGACGCATGACGGCCAGGAGAGGTACATTTCCTACGACTATTGCTGGGAAAGGGACAGGCAACGGGCGAGAAATTTGGAAAAGAAAGTTCAGAGCGTTGAGCACGCCACGAGTCTTTGGTTAGAATGATGTGGCACTCCAATTTCATCTGTTCTAGGAGTGACGGATACAGGGATGGTTCGTTGCCTTCAAGCTTTAGTGCGAGGAGTTTTTAATATCATGGCTGTCTTTGATGTTGCAGTTGGGGGCGATAGTGCGTTTTGACGACGCCCTTCAACGACGGATTACGACGCACAACATTGGGCTGAGCCTAAGGAGCCTTCAAACAAAGATGTCAACGGAGGGGAAGAAGAGGAAATAGAAGAGGAAGAAGAAGAAGAAGAAAAAGAGGAGAACGACGACCATAAGTGGAATGATCGCAAACAGAAGAGTTATGACGCTAGCATACATTGTATGTCTGCGTAGTGAGATCAATCGATCACATTGAATCGCAAGGCATGCAAGGTATCCACAGCGATGAAGCGGCAAATTCAGCTTGCGTTAATGCCTTGGACTAAGGCCTCTGACGTGCAGAGGCGCAGCGTTATTGCGCTCTCTATATTTGGCCTCCTTCGCACCTGATCTAAACGCATGATTGTATTGCAGTTCCTGAGGGCTTCCCGGATACAAAGGAATTGAGGAACAAACAAATGGTCCGACGAGCCGCCCACGCCTGCCTCAAGCATCCCAGAAACACTCAAAACAAATACCCGAGGACTTTTCTTTGTCCTATCTCTGAGACGTGTCGCACTTGATATCGAAATTCATACACTACCCTCTTCAACTATTACCACCATCGCCCGTTTCGCCATCGCTCATGAAATCCCATCCGCGTTAAGGTACGGTCTACCGCTAGCTAGCTTTCCTAATCCATAAGAACTCCAAAGCGGTCTTGCTTCGGCGCTTTCATGGCTGAGTCGCGACTGCAACCATTGGAGGTCCTTGTGCACATGGAAATCCCGACTCGAGAGTAGACCGAGCTGACGCCGGCAATGATATGTCTTCGAGGATCAAGATTCGATCACCACAATTGCAAGTCCAGACTCTGGAAAGTGAAGGTAGACGGCGTACTCAGGGGACACTCGCATCTACCGAAAACTTGAAGTAGACTATCCAGCATAAGAGAAGCCCGAGTGTCCAGGAAAAAGACTAACGAACCACTGCCAGAACATCGTAGCCTCGACAATTGGTGTTGGCCTCCTTTTCCCCTCTGATATCTACGACTTCGACTATTAATCTAAACACGGATCTTTAAGCTTGTCTAAACATCGGAATGCCTACGTTACGAATCAATCGAAATCATACAAATTGGGAATATGATCGGCCTCGAAAAGTAAAGAATTCTGTCAAAGAATCTCAAACCTCTGAACACTTACTTAAAAACCCATACAGAATCTACAGCCAATGAAGTATATCACCGCCATCACAATCGTGATACATGCCTGCAATTCACCAGTATCCACCCACCCGCAGCGCTTCCCAGCATCTCACAAAGCGCGCAATTCCACCGTGTCACCACGCACAGCTATCTGATTCCTCGTCCGCTTCCTTATGCATACCCAATACTCCTACCCACTGGCGCATTCTGCGTCACCACTAATTGCCTCACCATCCACTCGCGGCCTCGAACGCGGAGCACGTTTTCGATGAATGCCATCGGGCGTCCTCTGAGGCGAGCCTCTGCTTAGGCCTCTCTTGTTAGCCTGTCAACCAGCAGTGGTGAGTGCCATATACATGTAATAAAACATGTGTAAGCTGATCAGCGGTCTCACGGGGACAAAGAGCAATGTCGTCTCTTGTTCATTCATAATCTCGAGGACTTGCCTTGGCACCAGCCCTCGAGTCCTGTTCGCTTTATCCTTTTCTTTCACCGACGTCGGTTTTCTTTCACGTACGTTGTTCGCTTTATCCCATTCTTTAATTATATTCTTCCTCAGCATAAAGTCGTACCATAACTTGTTGCAGCCCTTGGGAGCATCGCGCAATTTTCATCCCAGCAATCGTGAAGTTTCCGACTCCCTGCGCATCCCACCCAAGCCACCAAACCTTTGGCATACTACGCTACTTGATAATGACATCTCCCAATGATCCGGCAGGCTTCTCAGTAGTGGATCTAAACTCCTCAGCCTTCCTGAAACTCCCAGCTGCCGAACAACTCTCTAAAGCCCGCGCCAAAATCGCCACTCAACGCCTCCTTGAGCAAAAATGCGAAGCGATGTCCCTTGTTTTCGATACGACTTGGACTGCCTGGTTCGCCCTTCTTAACGGTTCAGAATTTGGCTCACTGTGGAACCAGCTTGAGCGTCAAAGGGAAGCCTCCTTCGAAGCTACCCAAACCGCACTTAACGCCTACTTATACACTGCACGAGAGTGCGCGGCGAATTGGGAGTACGACTTAGACCTGTTTGAGGCTATACACAATTTGAGCAAAGAGGATGGTGGGCAGGTGATAGACCCAATTGGGTGTTCGATTTGGAGGCTGTTGACCAAGAATAAGATGGAGAAATGGACGACAAGGAATATCGGAATGAAGGCGGGGGGGATAAGAATGATGGAAAGGGGCTTATATGTAAACAAGGAAAGTGGATGGTCACCGAGAATCCGATTACCGGGGTCATGAAGTGGGAGGCGACCGAGAGAAAAGAGAATAGGTCTCCAGTGATCGCGGACAACGAATCCGACCGTACACCCCAATGGTCAGAACTGGAAGCCAGATTTCTCCTTTCGCCTAATCATTCTCCGTTGGCAGAAACAAACCCGTTGGGCAATCCCGTATCTGAATGGCCAGCTTTATGGCGCGAACACAATGCTGTAAATGTCGTGCTGTGTGCAGTACATAGCGCACGAAAAGCTCGCCAGCAAGAGCAACGTGTTGAAGAAGAAGGGAGATAAGACTCCTGTAATAGCAAACATCGAGCTTGATCCCATACCATCCTCGCCAAAGACTAGAGATGCCGCCATCATAGTGCGATGAAGGTGTGGGGCAAATTCGGGCTAATTAAACTTGACATTGATTTGAAATTATCTGTTGGCACTTACTTGTTTTGAAATTGCATCCACTCGTACTTATCCATCGTAACTAAAGTACCTGCCTTTTCTTAAGAACTCTAGAAAGCCGCCTTCTCTCAATCATTAATCGATTATTTCAGACGTTTTAACCAGTTGAAATGCACTCCCATCGCGGCTCTATCCTCCTCGCCAACTATGCCAACCTTCTCCGCGAGACACTTATCCTCAAATCCACCGTAGAAGCAAACCAAGCAATGGTGTCCAGCCTACCCGACCTCTCTTCGGCCTTAACCAAGGTTGTCGCAGACCTTTTCGCATTGATCCAAGATATACGCACAACTATGGAGGTTTTGCAAGGGGCGAAGGGCGGAATCGTTGTGTTCTTTTTAGTCAGGAAGGAGGAGAAGAGATATAAGAAGCTAGTGCTAGTGTACAACGGGGCAGGCGAAGCAGCCGCAGAAATGTAAGGAATTGAATGAAAAGAGGTCGCAATAGAAGCTGACTCTAGGCTTAGTGTCGACATGGCAAATGCGACGAGCCGATAGTGGCTGAATTTGACCGCGGCGATGTAAGGAGAGGGCGTATTTCGAAGAGAAGAGGGAGGGAGAGGGCAGGGGGGAGGAAAGTTAGAAAAGTGGGAGACATTAGCCACTCTCTCGCAATTGAACTTCATTCAACATCCATCTCCTTACTACGGCCCTAGCTGCAAAAGGCCTTCCACCATCTGCTCACCCCCTGCATCCACAATCCTTACCAAATCCAACGCCACCGAGCTTTCCTTCCGCGCCTCCAACCAGTCTCTATAGCCCCTCGCAGCCTGTAGCGCAATATCATACGTAAACCCCGTATAATACACGGACGGGACTTGGTCAATTGCGAGATAGAGTCGAGATCCAAGATAGATGTATTTCTCCCCACATTCGGGAACTGGATTGGAGATCTCGACAGGGGATTTTGATACTAGCACGTCAATGGTAGCGTTCACGATCTGAACGGCGGTGTCGCGCAGCATTCTACTTTTGGCGCCGGAGCCAATGTAGAGCGTTAACGGGGGCGCGGAGTTGAGGATTGGGTACTTTTCGTCGCTGCTGTTTGTGATGTTTGATCTGTGAAGGTTCAGCTGAGTTTAGGTCTTGTCTTTCTTTGGTAGCAACCTGGCTTGGAAGAGATCGTGAGCTTACAAGTCTCTTGAGGAAGCGGTGACCGCGGTCGGTATTGATCTTGTTGCACATCTAGTCGTCGTGCTTATTAGTGAGCAACAAGCCATCTTCATCAGCTGCAAACCCAGGAGTAATGCTGATAAGAGTCTGCACATCATTGTTGCTAGCAATAGTCTTAGATGTCGTTTGACTGGAAAGCGGATATGATCTGAAAGTCTTCTTAAAAGCTTGATTATAGAAATCGCTATGAATTCGGAGTCTTTCGTGAGGCTATGATAAGAAGTATTAGCGATATATATACAACAATGATATGATATATGGTCGCGTAGCGCTTGGAGCGACTTTGTTGGTGTATCGCATAGATGTTCCTCGCATAGCAGCGCGTTGGATAATTATCGCATAGTGCCGCAGATAAATATCGCTTAATTAAGCGATACAAAGATTAATACATAGTGTTAGCGACTCTTACATCTAATTGCCGGTAGATAATATTAAGATACAATCGCCGGCGAAGGATCTGGGACACATTAGGAGAGAAGAAAGGTGCTACAATTCGGCTTGCAGGTGTGTGCTTTTACGAAAACTAGACTGCACAATAGTCTTAGCCTTCCTTATTGCCTTCTTTTACTCTCTTCTCATTCCTCCTCTGCCTTCCTTCGCCTTCTTTGCACTCTTCTCTCGCCGATTTTCGTCCTTCTCCTCCCTCTCTCCGGCCCCCTTCTCACCTGCCTCTTATCTCGCTCCCTCTCCCCTCTCACAGCAACTATGCAAAATCCTTCTCTCACATCACCCCCACCCTATCCAACCACTGCTGGGCCTGAGCTTCCGCTTCTCCGACACTGCATACCGTTAGCACCTCTCCCGATAACCTCTCCTAGCCTATTACTTACATCATTCTGACCACCCTCTCCGCATCCGCATACACCCCTGCCAGCACTTCCCGCTGCTTCTCCGCCTTCCTGAGTGCCCAAAATTCCCAAAGGCGCCCCTCTGCCCGCAGCAACGATTTCACAATCTCGGGAATAGTGCTTATAGTGAATGAGAGGCAGGCGCGCGTCATCTCTAGACTAGCCTCTAAATGGGCAAGCCCCTAGACCACAGATGGCTTCACTTCTAATTAGGCGTGGAGGAGGAGACTAGCGCGGAGCAGGTCGGAGAGACGGGTGGTGAGGGCGGAGATGCGGTTCGACATATTGCAGGGGCAAAGAGAAGGCGGGATTTTATGGGATAGTAGTAGTTGTTGATGCGTTTTAGCGGTGATCAAAGAAGAAAAGGCAGGTTTCAACAATGCTTAGATGATTGTAGGTAGCTCTAGCAATAGTATAGTTGATTGCAGGTTATTAACTTACTACGAAGTGAGAAGAATGGATGCAAAACAATACGTAGTACTATATAGTGTCAAATCTGAGATGTTCCCCTCACCTTCATCGAAGCGTGGTAGTGGCATATCCACTGGCGCTCAATCATTCTCGTCTTCGCTATTATTTGGAGAAGGCAGCGCCAATTGTTTGTACATTGAACTCCCACCGCGCATACCCTTGTCCGGGGGTTCCCTATGCCCATCTAGGAGGTGCGCTGGATGAAAGGGGTCGTTGCATGAAAATTCGAAGTGCTAAGAGGTAAAAGTGCTCGAATCACACCGCTGTAGAATCTTGAGGCAAAGCGCAAAATTCGGCTAAGAGGCAGAACTTTTACTGCTGTCACCAATGTACGCCTCGTGCCTCGTCGCTCGGACGCTACATGTTGTAAATACTAGGCTACGTGCAAGTTACCTCTGCTAGAAGGCCTTATAATCATTACATCTCGGCAGAGAAAAGTGTCTTCTTTAATACTTCGGCAAATTCAACCACTACTTACCGCATATCCTCTGCTTAAGGGCAAACTGCGCGGAGACTGGTACATGCCTTTTAGCCTACACTCTACCCTCCACTGCCTTGATGCCTTTATCCGCCTTCTTGCCTTCTCAACGTTCATCTTAGAAGATTATCCCCTATAAATACAAATCAATTATTCCCTCGTTTCTTGTTCATTATGATCCCATTGCACAAGTCTGATAACGCCAACAAGGCAAATACACCAATAAGGCGATCAGAACGTAACACTCGAACACAACATTTTCACTCACAAACAATGGCGCCCAAATCCGACCCCAAACCCGACCAACCGCGTCCAGACTCTCCTACGTTGCCGAAGCCAAGTTCAAAGAATTCCGAAGCGTCCACACAACAAGCAACGTAGAACACGACTAATACGAAGTAAACATATCGATACTATGGTCGACGAATCTTCGAAGCTTGATGTCAGCGATGCGGTTAATTCGTCTGCAAGCTAAGGGCAAGACTAAAAGGGAATGTGAGAGAAGATTTGGAGGGGAATTGAGCTAGGGCAACAGTATGCAGGAAGTAGAGACTTAACAATAGCGAGCAAGGAAATGTAATAGTCTAGAAGATTATCTCCAAAGTACTCAATCAATCGTGCGATCTCGTAGTTAATAATACAGTCTTTCATAGCATCTCACATTTCTATTTCCATAGATATTGAGGTCAAAGCACTACATTCGCGTAGTAGAAAGAGACTCCCTAATTACGACTTATCATAAGGCTTTTAGTATTACTAATCAGATTAACCTATGACGTCAGTATCAACTTCCAACATCTTTCAGAATCTTATACAAGGTCTCCGTGAGCCACAAGCATATAGAAAAGCCCTTTGAGATAGTTGATCTCTTCTAAGGATATGACTCTCAACCCATTTTTCCTTCCACCAATACCCGATGAACTCTGGCGAATTGAAGATGACCTAACATTCATCAAATACGATAATGATGATGATCAAGGTTTCAACTGCTTCACCTCTACGCAATGCATGGCTTTCAATCAGCGCATTACGCCCCTATCAGTCAAGGATCACTTAGAGAACGGCCAGTCTATTGTCTGGAAAGGACTGATCTCACTAGGCACTTTCGATAAAGCCCGAAGGGAGATCGAGTGGCGTGAGCGTCTGCACCATAAAAGTATCTGGGCCTACAAGATCGAGACTGCAGGCCTTCAATGGGAGTCGATGGTGTGGAATCAGCAGCAGAATATCTCATTAAGATATTTGACGGATGGTAGCGCGGACATCATGATTTTCAAGGCGTCCGAGCTGATACAAGCCTTGGGGCTCAGTGGGAACATCAAGAGAGAAGCCGAGTTGGGGGCGGTGGACGAATGGCTTGCGCTTGAATGGGTACCGAAAAGCATGATACTTGAACGATGGCAAATTAGTGATGATAGTGGGCGCCGTTTGCAAGGAAACCAAGGATATGAGAATCTACGGACATGATCTAGGCGACTATCGTAAGCTTATGGTCGCTACTCTTAAGCACCCTCTATTCGTGCCACCATTGCTACTGCTATGCATTGGTGCTACGTTGGGCTTATTCAACGTTGTCAGATGGGGTTGGGTTGATTTGGTCACATCAGAGAGGCAGGTCTTTCAGAGATATGAATGCAGTCGCTTATTCCAAGTGCTTTTATCCTATAAAATGCTAACCGTAAGCAAAAACGATGAAATATCTCCCTTGGAAACGCCATCATTCTGCTACTTCAACTCATTCCTACAAGAGGATCCCTCTACCTAGCTACTACTACTTCATCAGTCGCTTGCTCCCTGTTGTTCTTTCTCATTTGCTCGAACAATTACCGCATTCTCGTTGCCTGTGCGTGCGCGAAATAGCCCAAAATAGCCATACACATACATAGTCCGCCAACTGCTTGCTGCACCTATAAATGAACTTCTAGCATATGAAAATCAGCCGCGCAAAGGGTATTCGCAGTCTCAACGACCTATCAACCTAACCCTCGCACGCCTCACACGCAAAACAACCAATAGATAGCACTTACTACTTACTATTCGTAAAATCCCCAACATTATCCGGCCACCCTAGATGCTATAATTTACGACTATCCGTTCACGTATCCGGACAACCTGCCTATTCACGACTTTGTATTTTGTTTTTACAGACCTTGACCAGAGTCCTCGCGATTCTTTTGACATTCTGCCCGCAATGTTCCGCCCGAGTATAGACTAATCTCCTCGCCTCAAGTTGTGGGGAGCCTAAAGGGGCTCGAGAAGGCGCTACGAGTACGGTCCTGCCTCTTCACTTGCTTAAATAAGATTTCGCCGATAAGCGGCCTGTGATGATAAACACCGCTGCGGCCTGGACATACACATCGACGATTGCAATACTAGGCAATTGGGGCGGGAAAAAGGTGCAGAAAGGCTGGAGTGTAAGGCTGTGGGCGAGGCTGTTTGCTTGGCGTGCTTAGTGTGTCCCTTGAGCCTTCGGTTTTTAGGAGCGGAGATAAGGTGGCATGCGAGAAGTCTTGGCACAGAAGCTGTAAACACTCACTCCGGAATTGTTGATTCACAATTGCTCTCACTTGCTACAGTACCACCTCTCCATGGAGTCAGAATCATGAAGCGGAAGCTTTCTTCTTACCTCTCATCTCCACCTCCAGAACTTGCCTCCCCAAAGCCTCCCGCTGAAGATCTACAGCAAGTACAGTTTCCCAAAGCCGAAAGCCCGCCAGTCGTCGAGCTGCAAGAGCAGGACACTCAGGAAGCGTCCGATGAGCAACTGAGCGCAAAAATAGAGTACAATGGTCGCGGAAGATCACCATACAAGACTCCCGTCACTGCAGTCATCGACCAGCTTAAGAAGGACGTCCGTCGCCTAGAGCACTTTGACAGGGCGTTGGCACAACAGAGGCTACAATACAGACGCTCAAAGAGAGAGAAAGAGAAGGAGTACGCTTCGAACTGGTATGCATTACAAGACATGGGCAAGTCTGAGGGACAAAAAACGGCCAAGTCGGGGGAGCAAAACTCGAGCAAATACAGGGAGCAAAACCCTTTGGCGAATAAGCCCAAACTAGGGCCAACGCCAGCTACTCCAGCTACTGGGAGATCCATCAGCCCGGAGAAGCTCCTAGAGAAGCTGCAGACATGCAAACCGCAAATCATACGGGAAGAGTTCCGCCTGCTTTCAGGGCAGCCGCGGGAAGCGGTGAAAGAGGTTTGTCAATTCCTACTGCAGGGTACCCGTTTCGGTTTCATCCCAACCAAGTTCAAGGTAACTTCTGCCACTTCACAACTTCTCGGAGGGACTTATCGATTGCAGGAAATCATTCAAGACGAAGAGTTTGAGGTTGGAGATCATGCATTTGGGGAAATGGAGGACCTCAAAGCCAACAGCCTCAACAAGATGGCGACCAAAATCAAGACAGAAGCCTCGATCTGTGAGTCCCAGAATCGGGACGAAAATGCTTGGTGTGATGAGGTTGTACGCCGCCTGTTGAAATGGGAGCCACATAGCCCCGACCAGCCCCGCTTTACCAGGATTGAAAACATGTAAGATTTTGCTTTGCAGTGTCCAAGGACTCGGCATGCTGACTCGTCCACAAGCCAATCCCAAATGATCAACGAGGCGTGCCTTCCCATGAACGCCGGAGTCACAGTCGAGTCAAAAAAGGCCGACTTTGCGCTGGCCATTTCTCCAGATCACCCAGACAATGCCACCCAGTACCATGCCTTGAACAGCGTGGATGTAGTCGAGCACTTTACTCTCTCGCAAATGAACGACACTTGTACGAGCAAACTCGTACTGTACGCCGGCATCGAAGTCAAGAAAGCAAGCGGGGACAAGACAAAGGCTTTGGCGCAACTCATCACCTGGCTTGCAGCAGGAATCATGAAAAGGCGAAAGTTGTTGAGCAAGGCGAACGAGAGCAGCCCAACGTCACCATCCGCTAAGCATGCTTCCACCACACCTCCCTTGATTGGGTTCCTGGTGCATGGGCACACCTGGGAGTTATTCATGGCCATCGGCATCGGTAACAATGTTGATGACAAGATTACCATCCTCGGGCCATTACGGAGTCTTACGTTCACAACGTGTGACTACAGCGGATGCTTCAGCCTATTACGGCTGATGGAGAATGTGAAGAACTGGGCACAGACAAAATACTGGGAATGGTATGTTCCTGCGATTATCGAATCCCTGAAGGGGGCGGAGAAGAGCATTGCGGAAATCATGGAAGACAATGACATGTCCGATGGAGATGACGCTTGAGTTGACAAAACTAGAACCCGTAATAGGTTCTGAAGAAATGACTTTGATGACACAACGGCTATCAACTTCCTTATCATGCACAGACAGACGTGAAGAGCCTCCCTTTCGATAAACTGACATGCGATCAGATGAACATTCTTAGATGCCTCACGGCCATTTGCACGAATGCATCAACATGCATTCACATAGATGTTCTGAGATGCCTCACGGCTATCACTAAAAATGTAATATCCTTCAAAACTGCAAGCCTATGAAGCGTCTCCGAACAGATTTTGCAACGTCGTGCTCCTCCATTACTTGAACCACCCTTAAAGACAAGCAAACACGAAAGCAATACTATTAAGTAAACCATGGATATTTCACTCAACGCCTATTGACCGTTGAACATACAATAAATGCTCTCCAGCTGCCCGCATTCCACAGGCTACGTCTATAGGGAAGCATCGCCTTTCATAACCAAGCCTCTAGCCACCACATCTCCGTCCATACCTCGCCCTATCAACCACCCTCGCCAATCCCTAACCCCTAGTCCCCCTTGCATTTCACCACGCACGAATCCCCCCTTCTCACAGCTCCCCTACCCCGACCAACCCTCCTACCACCGCCCCTTTTTGTCCTCCTTCCCTCCTCAACCCTTCTCTCTCTCCGTCCCAAAGCCCGTCCCAACAAAAATTACACGAAGTATTGAATGCGCAACCACAGCACTAGCAATCCCGTGCACGCCTCCACTGTCGGAGACGAGACAACTCTGGCGAGTAGCGTGCGGTGATGCAGATGCGCGCTGTGGGGAGCGGTGGGGAGCGTGTGGCGGGAAGGCGTGGGGCGTGCGGAGGATGCTGGGGCGGGAGGGTCTGGCGACGAAAGGGGGATTTGTGCTAGAAGTACAAGACACGGGTTATCGAAGGGTACAAATTAGGGTTGTGTCTTGAGAGACGATTTTCGGAGGCGGAAAGGAAGGCAGTGAAGAGTGTAGTAGGTAAAGAGGTTGTAGAAGAGGAGGGGGGAGAACGCTTCAATAGTTTAGGTAATACTTCTTTATGTCGATTAGTACTAGCTCGAAAGCTATTAGAAGGAATTTAGGCCTAAGGGGCATTAAAAGTCGTCGGTTGATGCTCTGTAGGCAAAAGGCTTTGAAATGCTAGTAGTATGTTTTCAATAGCAAGCATTTACAAATCTATAGTCCTTTGCCTAGTCATAGTTCCTTCATCTGAAATAACCTATACCCGGGTATTGGTTATTGACCAAGAGCCTCAGACTCTTATTAAGTAGAGTTTATGCAACAAAGTCGAGAGGAAAGAGCCTTTATTATCAGGGCATACAGAGACATGAGCGCCACCATAGCCTACCTAGAAAAAGAGAACTTTAATCCAGAGATAAGGGACTATCCTTTTCCGCCCTATTGATTTGAAGTTGAGGCAAAAGTGACGTGGAGCTTGATGCTCTACAGAAGACACCTACGCACCAAGATCGAAGGGATAGTGAAAACACCGCACGAGATGAGGGCAATGCGCTCAAAGTTTTTGCACCATAACTCTGGAACGGAAACGCCGGTCCTCGCGTGTAACATATGTTAACGTTCAACAGTTCAATGTGGAAGCGCCGCCCTATTTACAACCAACGCATTTATAGCCTTTACTGAAGACACCCTTGCTTGGATCAACAATGTTGTTCACCCGCTGCAAAGGGACTCTTAAGACTTTGGCATACACGACTTCTTCGAGAATTGTGGCTAGCAGGCTTGAGATCCTTTTGTACCGGCTGCAAAGTGGAGGAACATGTAGTAGCAAGTGGCGTGCAGAATTCTGGATTTTTCGGGGCGACTTGCTGGCGTAGGAGGGGGAGCGATTTCATGTGCTAGGACCTGATAGAGCACGATGGAAGGAGATGTGCAGATGGTGACTACGTCCTCTTATTTGGTAGACTTCATACTTTTTCGACTGCTTGCAAGTCATTGTTTACCTTGTGGGCCGATATAGAAGCCTTGCATCCCCTTCTCTTCTTCTTGTTCCAATCACAGCATAGTCTCAAGTGGGCAAAATCATCCAACTTAGTGGGTGGGTCTCGAATGCCTAAAAGAAAGGGTTAGCGGGTAGTTGCATAAAATAACCTATACTAGGGTATAGGTTACCTCATACAATTAACAATCTATACTAAGACAATCTTGAAAGAGCGGCTGTCCTATTCAAACAGACTTATGCAAACATAATAGCCCTACTCACGCATCAAGCCCTACTTCTAAGGCTACGAAACATTTCGCCCTGCCGGACTCTGTTGCTCAACCAAGTGCATGTAGATCTAGAGTTAGGGATAGTCATGCCGCTGCGTTTCGTCTAAGCATGAAGGCGCGCGAGGAAAAGTGGTATTAACACATAGAGGAGATATTTGCCAAAGTGCTTCGCGCTGCGGGCTAAGGAAGTGGAGATAGGACTTGTCGTTGGCACCATAGCATGCAGACAAGGCCTGCCGATGCTTGCTTTTGGGAGTGCTTTTGGAGCGAGCATAAGTTGGCGTATGCTTGTTTGTTGGAACTTAGTGCACTATGCTATTTGTTGTGATAGGGTTGATGTGATTTCGATAATGCGGCACCAGGCAGCTTGACGTTCGGCTAACCTTGCAGCCTTTCACGTTTCTAGTCGCCTTTCTTCAGCATTAGATCGATCGCCTGTAGAGACTTTACCTATCTTTGCTATCTCTAAGCCTCTAATCACCTATCCGGGCAATGATCTTTCGGACATTGGCCCACATCGCTGCCTCTCAGCCTTTGGTCGCCTTGGCGTTAGCTCGAAATCCTTTTAAGAATTTGCCCCTATTTACTAAACTTCGGCCGTAACATCGCTAGATAGCCATTTGCTGTCAAACCAGCACCGATCAGCCTGCACAAGTCCTGCTCGTGTCCTCAAGCCTTCCGCACTATCACTCGCCTGTCGAGCCATCGGAAAGGGTTGCCCTGGAAACATCTCCAAGTCAGAAGCAGTAAAGCAAACCAGCATCAATACAACGGTCCGGCAAGCGAGATGACATAACACAATGACTTGTCAGCTTGTTCTGTACTTGAGAATATCGATGTCACTCATTCAACAGGCCCGAACCACTGAAAAAAGTCCGCTGTCGACATAATTAGCCGTGCAAAGGTGTATTGTATTCATGCAAGACATAGTGAATCAAACCTCGCGATGCGTGGAAGACGCTGTCGAGTCTTCTCAAATCCTCCATAACATATGCATTGCAGTCGCCGTTTCGTGATAGTGACCAACCCAGATTTGAAGACGCCAAGCCGTGCTGATATGTGCGCGTGTCGCAGGGTATATTCTGGTCCCACCAAGATAGCTCCCGTCCCGGCTTGGCGAATATTTTGATTTTCGATCATGACTTGATCTTTCACATTTCTCACCCAACAATCAACTTCCATCCCCATTTCAACCACAGCGCCATGGTATGTCTTCCAACATTTCACCCAAATACCGTCGCCATCCTGCACCTGAGCTTGAGCAATCATTGCCAAAGCGCGTGCGTCGCGAGTCCGTAGACTCTCCGCCACGTCCAGTAAGTACTCAACTCACAATGTTTCGGGTCGCTTTATGAGGCAGTCGAAGAGAGTACATTTCCCAAGTGCCTCTACTGAGCTGGCTCACCGCTTCTTCGTTGGCCTCTTGTTGCTCTTGGCAGTAATTTCGAGCGGCCACTTCCAACTCATTGACCCCTCACCTTGCTTTTGACTTGAGAAGACCTAACACGCTGCAGACTCCATCATCACTCATTGACGAACCTCACGCCATCGGTACAATTTCCATCGACAAGAACGCCGCCAACAACACCACCAGCACCCAGGGTCCGCCTGTAACCAAGCGAAGGGACTCTCTCGGACGTCGATCATCCGCCGTAAGTAGTCACATTTCAGCCAGGAGGTGCGCTTGGTTTACAAGATTCAGGGCGAATCACTACGCGACTGCTCTCCAACAGAGGCAGATCAGCCTCATTCGGCGAAATCTCCTGGCTCAATCCAATCTGTGAGTGTCATTCATCAGAACTGTCAGCCGATACCAGCTGACCAACTACGCTATGTGCCTCAGGCAGCAGCAAAGCTCACCCCCAATTGCTCTGATTCAAGCTCTGCCTCAGCACAGGAACCACTTGAAGCTCAGCCACCCTCACCATCTCCACCCGCCCCCCAACCCTACATTGATCCTGTCGAATTTCATCGTCGCATCAACCCCGACTGGAACTCCTTTCCAGAATTCGAGAACGACATATACGCCGATACGCAACCGTATTCGATTTCACTAGAACCAGATTCTGCGCAAGAGAACCCTCTGAAGAAGATGCCCGCCGTCAACGATGTTTCCGATTGGTTAGAAGATCGACACATGTATTACGACAATGACGAGGACAGACAGTATGGAGAAGTCATTATCGCACAGGCCAAAGAGATCTTGGATGAGCCTCGATCGCATTCCCCGACCGCCACCCTCACGGCACCCGAATTGCAACGCATCCTGAAAGAGTCTGCTGGGAAGAACGAAGAGACTTACATCATCAAACTCTTCTCTGTTCTTAAACATGATAAAAGAATGATTATAGCCCCAGATCCGACAGCTGACCAAGCGAAGCCATGGATAGAGAAAGCTTGGGCCCAGGATGGGCTAGAAACCAAGTACAAGGCGAATTTAAGATCGCACTCTGTTCCCCCAACAACTACCGAAGACGAGTGGGTCCAACTGTTTTTGACGAAAGAGGAACAGACGAAAGGGGCATTTGCGCCCACAGTACCAGACGTGATCTTCGGCATCGAGCGTAGATCTATCCCTGAATCGCACCGAAGGCTTTTCAATAACACGTATTGTGAGATTGCGGGTGGTTGTTACAACGCCTTTTTGGCATGGGACATCAAGTCCCGGGAGCGCCCCCTGCACGAGGCCATCAATCAGTGCGTCAAAGGCGGTGCGACCTTGTGCAATAACAAATTCATGTGGGACCATGTGGCCGCCGGACTTGCCCACCCCATCGATGTGCGCCAAGGAAATGCCGCTTCAGTCGAATCCTCAACAGCGAGTTCCGTAGCGCCCGAGAAGTCCATCGACTCGTCGAAAGCCAAGTCTGTGAATTATCCCCAAGCTCATATGTCGTCTTGGGTCTACACAATCGCAATGGACCAAAGGACGGCTACTATCAACGTCAATTGGTGCTTGGAGACTTCGGCTACGAGCCAAAAATGGCATATGCATCAATTATACGAATATTCCATAACGCGTGAGGATGACACCGAGCGGGAAAAGCTGGTGCGTCACATTAGGAACATTCTAGATTGGGGTGTGGGGGCGCGCAAGGACGCTATGGCCTTGCAAGCAGACAAGATCCTGGAGCGTCGTGAGAAGGAGCAGAAGAAAGATGGCGAGGGTCGGGATCGCAAGCGGCAGAGGGAGCAGGAGTGAGAGGAGGAGCAACCAAGAAACAGACGCCGCATACTATTAACCGGCTTTGTGTGACGAATATGATTGCAGCATGGACAATGGCAGGAGGGGATGTACGATAAGATGGCACTCAAGATCAATTAGAAGAAGACGGGCAAAAATCGAATATGTCGCCATGTTGCACCCCATTTTAATGGAGAGATACAGACGAGGGGCACCCAAACGTCTAGCCACCTGCTACTCTTTCCTTCCAATCAATTTGGGGGGTGAGCATACTCTTTTTCTCATAGATCATTTCGAGGCAGCGAACGCGCAATTCGATCGTCATACACAGCGCTGCTACACAGTACGTCAGCACTGCCGGCCAAGTTATCTATCCCCACTGATAGCTATGATGAATGCCTAGCTGATACCCCGCTCAGTGGCGACGGCAAACAACCTCACCACTTTGCCACCTCAACATTCACCGCCAAGCCATATTCAACACTCCGGAAAGGGTTAATGCTTTTCACTTCCTAACGATATGTACGGCTAGTTACTACTATCTGCGGGGCCACGGCTATCGACGGAAGCCCAGACGTGTAGCCACTGTAAGCGGTGAGGGGCTCTGAGACAGCGAGGGCTCGGGTCGAACAGTGTTATGGGATTCTATCGTCTGATCATCGGAAGGACAGTGAAGGAGACGAATACTCCATGCCACGTAGTCACTTAGGAAAAGAAGTGAAGGGTTTATCCCCGAAATGAAAAGTAGGGTCTGCGTTCCATCGCAAACCGAGGCCACCAATACGATGCTTTTGGATGTCGTGTGTTGATACGCGTACTGCCGGTCGACTCGTTCTGGAGTGTTGTACAAAGTGTTGAGAGTGTTGTACAGAATTTGTTGGGAGGCCCAGCCTTCTCGCAATCTCTTCTCCCTCCATCGTCTTCCACGTACCACAATCTCAAGAACCATACAGACTTCTTTCATCCTCGAGTATTGTACAGACTTCTCCAACATTCATAGCCCATTCAATAACCTCGTCACTACTCTGAACCCGCAACACGTATACCTGACTCATTGACTCTATCTCCACACTTCACCTGCATTCCTGTTTCCTTGCGCATCATGCCGTTACCGATCATCGCCCATTGGGTCATGGCCGCGGCCGCAACCATCGGCGCGCTTTTCACCATTGAGGTTATGAGAAACAGTCTCTCGGTTCATCAAGGATATGAGATATTTGGTCGAACTCCGTTTGTTGTGAATGCGCCATCCGCTGAAGACATCTTCCACGATCTCTACCAACTCCTGACACCCCCAAACAATCCGTCGACTGACGACCTTCTCATACCCAAATCCTCAGCACCTGCAATGGCTTTTGATGCATCGCTGTTGGAAAACTTCAACGACACCTCAATCAATGCAATTCTAGTGGAAACGGGCAACGGAACACTGACAGCCATTAATACGACCGGCGTGAGCATTGTACCCGTTTCACCGTATGACGGACAGTCTGAGGATCACGTGGAATCGATCATGATCTTGACCACCTACTGGGACAAATTTCAGGCGTGGAGAAAAGAGTGGGCCAAAGGATACAAGCCTTTGGAACCCTTGTGTAGGGTTGGCAAGAAAATAATCCTCTGCATTGTCATTAACACCGTGGTGATTATATCCGGATTAGAATGGGAGCTTCAGGTGCTATGGCTTGACATGAGACGCGAACGAACCGAGCCAAAGCTTGACGCATCTACGTCTACCATGAAACCTCAACTCTGTTGTGAACACTGCTCTCAAAAGACTCAACAAGAAATCACTGTTGTTGCTCCTGGTCCATTGCATACTGACGACTTCGGCACCAGCTCGCTCGACAACAGCTCGTCAAGCGCAACACCCAATCTTTCCTTTTCCACTATCATCACCGTTGATCAAACACCAGAACCGATCGCTCCTATCACCCCAACATCCCCCAGAACAGTGCCGGAGAAAGTTGCTGACGCATCTGAATTACTGACATCGATACGTGCGTCACGATCCAAGCAAATCGTCCCGAGACCATATGTTTTGGCAGTCGCCTCGCCCTCGTCACAAGACCCATATGCGCTTACAGGAAACATCAATCCAGCATTCAGTGCTTGTACTGAACAGCAAGAACGTGCCCTAGTAACTGCTGTCTCCACTCCATCTTCGCGTTTTGCGTCTCCTGTCAGACCAGACACAGCCGCTCACCAATCGGAACCACCCTCACCGAATCGTCAAACGCTGTCGGAGCCTATGGAGCCTACTCCGTCAGGTCTTAGCGTGTCAAGATCACCTTCACGATCAGCTTCAATTCCATCTATCACACCGACAGAGAGTGAAGACAATGGAGTCTCTACTGCATCAGCTATTTCAGTATTCACTGATAGTGCAGATATCTTGGGGGGCACACAGGCGCAAAGCCTTTGGAACACAATGATGAGGTGAAGGGGGATGATCTAGCGCCAGCAGAAAATAAGAAGCCGGACAGCACAGCTTTAAAGCCAAGTGCGGCTGTCTCAGCAGAATCGTCATCCGTTGTCCCTGCGTTATCGACAATCATCGAGCCCGTCCTCGTCGTCGACCCAGTCGCGCAAGATGAACTCCCGACATCTCCATCATCTCCTGCCCTTGAGCCGGGTGAGCTAATCTCATGCGCTGCTGATGCGGCCTACACAAACACACAGGAGAGCCTTCGATCTTTTACTCCGGACACTGAGACCGTCATTTCCCCGTTATCTGCCCAATTCACGCCTCATTTCAAGCCTGAAACAGCGGCTCTCACATCGCCAACATTATCGAAAGTTCCCTCGTCGACTGAGGAGACCCTAGCGGCGAGCGAAATGAAAAGAAGCGAAAAGACTCAGCTGTCGCCTACAGCCGCTCCCTTCATAATGCCAATTCCCCTGACGCCAAAACAACCACGGACAGCTGTGCGAGCAGAGCAGGTGCAGCAACCGCCTGCACCTATGACGGTAGCGCCTCCTCATACAAGCGGCACGAAGACTCGACCATTGACGTTCATGGAACAGCTCCTCGGCCCTGAAGCAATGGCGGTCAAATACGCTGAACACGGTGTTCAACAACGACCAGATCCATCGCCGCGGCCTCACACACAGGAACGGAAAGCGCCACGTCGTGATGCAAAATTATACATCCCCCCTGGTCCTAAGAATCAGAGCCCTGCGCCGACGCCTGCTCAAGCGCCAGAGATGGCTTCTCATATATTCTATGATCCCTACGGATCACAAAACATCAAGCTTTGTCCAAAGGACAAGGAGTGTACCAACGCAGGCTGCAGCAAGGGGCACCATGGTCCGCGCGTACCCCCCTCAGTAGAAATCAAGCTCGACCAGTTCTGCAGGGCCAAGAATCGGTGTGCGAAGACGAACTGCTATCGTTACCACTGCTCGCCCGCCTATCATGAGTAAGTAAGTCTTGTTGAACTTTGGCAATGGGTAAGGTGCTTGAAGCTGATGGTCACAGTGTTTGGGGAGCCTCCCATCCGAGCCCAAGCGCTTCTTACATGACGTGCACTCTGAGCCACTGGTCGAATGAGACCGGCTGAGTGCACGATCAATTGGGTATCGCACGGGAGAGGAATAATAAAGGGTATGGTCAAAGGAACCCTGTCCATGGGAGCGACTGGCCAAACTAGGCCGGCATGGACGTCAACCTATCGACCCTTTGATGCAACGACAAATACCGAACCCTACCTTGGAGAGTGTGTTCACGAGCCACTGGTCAAACAGACCGGCGAACACCGCCAAGATCAACTCCTAACCACGGATACAGCGAGAAGAGCAGTGGAGAATATCGCACAAACGGAGCTTGTTCCCGAGGAGCCACTGGTCAAACAGACCGGCGGAGCAAGTCTAAGCCACACTTTCAGACGCGAATAGCATGGAAAGGAGGGTAGTTGAAAAGTGCTTTATTGTTTTAAGAATGAAGAGAAGTGTTTGCGGTGTATGTAATTGCATGCGACATAGCCATTTTCATAGCAGAGGCAATTAAGTATCTTCATCTTATTCCTCTCTTTTTAACCCAATTTAGTCTATATATATTGCCTTGTAGTATAGCTACCTTATTATAAGGAAGGCGGGATAGAGGTAGGAGAGTAGAGGCTTTAAGGCGCCTATCCTCTAATATAGAAACTCTATAGAAGAATAATTATTAATAGCGTAATTTCTAATAAATAAATATAATAGTAGCTAAGGGATGGTAATAAGATAGCCTCACTAGAGATAGAAGAATATATAAAGTAAATTTTAATAAATTTATAAAAATTTTAAGTTTAAAGAAAAAAAGTCTTTAAAGACTTTTTTTTAAATATATTAGTTTTAATTTTCTTAATTATAATAATACTTTAGTAAATTATATTTTACTTCTTAAATATATAATATTAATTTATTAAAGTCTTATAATAGTTTAGGAAAAAATTTATATATTATTAATAAATTTATATAATTAAATTATAATTAATTTTATATTATTTTTATTTATTAACTTATTTAATATATTATTTATAATTAAGTTAAACTTTAATATTTTTATTTATTTATATAAATATATTTATAGTTTTTAAATAAAATATAAAAGTAAATAATAAATAAAATTTTAATAATAATTTTATATTTAACTTATAATAAAGTAAATTATTATTTTAAACTTTATTTTTTATTTTCTATTATTTTAAACCTATTTAATATAGTCTTAGTTAAGCCTAGATTAAGTTTTATTTAATTTATTAAACTTAATAAATAACTTTTAAATTAAAATAATTTTAAATTTTTCCTTAAAAACTATTTCTCTAGTTAAGTTTTTTTTAATTAACTTAATAAACTAAAAGATTAATATAATAATATAATTATATAATTCTTTTATTTATATATAATCTTAATAAATACTTTAACCTTAATTTTATATAAATTATATATAAGTTTAAAACTAGTTTTATAACTATAATAAAATAGAAAAAAAATATTTCTAAAATATAAAAAGTAGTAATATAGTTTTTTAATATAGATTATTATATTTTATAAAATTATAATAATTTAACTTATAATAACTATAATTTAATAATATTTTATAATAATTAATATATTAATATAAATATAATATAAAGTTTATATTTTTATATATAATAATATTTTCTTATTCTATATTTATAAATTATATTTTTTATAAATTCTATATAATTATATATAATATAAACTTATTTTTATTTATTTAATTAAATTCATTTTAAATTATTATAATTTCTTTAATATTAAAATTAATATTATTAATTAATAATATTAATAATAATATTATTATTATAAAATAGTTTAATATTTATTATATTATAAAAATTAAATAAAGAATATAAATAATTATAAATTTTTAATAATATAATTTTATAAATAATTTTATTTTTATAAGAAATATAAGGTTAGATTCTTTTATTTAATAGAAAATTTAAATAGTTTTCTATAAAAAAGTATATTTAAAGATTTATAATTTAATATAATTTATATAAATTTAAATTAATTATATTTAAATTTAATTACTTTTATAAATCTAGTAATTATTTTATATCTAAAGTACTTTAAGCTATTACTAAAGTTTTAAATAATTTAAAGTAATATTTAGTTAGATTCTATTAAATTTTTAAGCTTAGTAAAATTATTTTTATTAATAATAAATAAGAATAGGTTTATAACCTTTAAGAGAATAATATATATATTATTAATAGGAATTATTTTTTATACTACCTAGTTTAAGTTTTATAAATTATAAAATATTCTGTTAAACGCTAATAGTCTGCTTTGGAGCTAAAACCCTAAGTCTTATTATTTATACACTTCTCCCGCGATCAAGTTTACACGTAGTAGCGAGATTTTAGAGACTTCAAACGACTTAGGCTCCACCGTTGTTGAGATGAGCGTGCTCGACTCATGGATCTCTAGTTGGCAATGATTAAGGAAGGACGGATCTATGCCAGAAAACCTAATCTCCTTCAAGTCACTATGCTATGTGCTCTCTGACAGACAGGGACTCTAGAGACGCTTGTGGCTAGTGGCTCGCCACCAGCCACTGGAGCTGTCTAACGGGAGTATATCAGGGTGAAGCACAGTACCAGGACTTAAGCGTGCATTATGCCTATATCTGTTGATTCCGAAGTCCTTAACATAACGTCTTGTTGATAGAGAAAAACATACTCAAGTTGTTTGCAGGAAAACAGAGATTTAGAACAATACGGCTTAGGGTATGGAGTTACAATTTATTCCCCGCGGCCATATAGGCGACAAGCGCTTTTTAAATCTAAAGTCTACCAACGACTTCAAAAAGGCTCGTGATGCGACGGGCCGTCCTACAGGTTTCAGAAATGCCGCCGCAACAGGATATTGGACCCTTAGTAGTTGGAATCAAAGCGACTAACAGGATACAGAAGTATGCGGCTCGAGATAGCCGGAATACTTTGGTTGTAGCCTCCCAAATGGTGACGATAGCAGAGTGCAATTGGCCAGAGTGCAATTGGCCAGAGTGCAATTGGCCATAGCATACTTGTACAGCCTCAATGCAATCTCGGCGAAGATAATGCATTCATATCGCGTATGTTGTTACAGAATTTGGACGAAGCTACAAGACGTTGGGAATATAATCAGCGCCGTTCCCTCGGACTCCATTGGTTCTCATCTCGTTCAGGCAGAAGATCACACCAGTCAAGACTTGTCTATGACTTTACTCCTCAACACCCTATGTATCTTATATCCCTCGCACTAGGATATATTATCGCAGCAAGCACAGAAGCGAAAACAACACCACGTCCAGCCCACGTATTAGCCAAACGCGCATTTGTAAGCATATGGTCATATCACCTGCCACTCCAAAGACTGACAGCACTAGAGTACACAATGTCAGCATGTTCCCTTCCCACCCCTAGCCAACCAGGCGTTGCAGCAACACGCTCTTCAGCACTTCTTGGGCAACCTGCAAGAGCTCTGTACGGACGCATTCAACGGGATGGGCTACTTCTGCAACGAAAATGGTGCTCTCACGCCCGTCGATCCTCCCACATTTCTATACAGCAACGCAGGCTCCCAGCCTTACAAGACAGCCTGTCTGGCGAACTGCATTTGTGTACCCGAGTATGAATGGGACCCCGACTTCGGAGAAGATCACGCCGCCTGCGCCAGCGACGGCGGCCCAACCGATCCAGGCGACAATGATGATGATGATAACGACGACGCATCTTCTTCCGAACCCGCCCCACAACGGCCTTGTGTTCCATCTGGATCGCTTTCCCCAAATCCGTTCGATAGCGATATCACCTGCAACGGGCTCATGTTTGGGTTTCCGATTAACGAAGACTGCGAGAAGGCGGTTGGGTTCTTAACGACGTCGAGATTGGGGTATGGCCATAACCGCTTCGAGCATACTGAATTTGTGGAGGATGGGGCGTCTCTGACTGATGAGGATCCTGATGCTACTGTTCTGCTCCCGTATTCACATACTAATGGTGAGTTGAAATGAGGTTCTCTCTCCCTGTTTCCTATCTGTCCTAGATGAAGTTCAGCTAGTAAGCTTAACAAGGCTGATTGAGCAGTGCAGGCTCCTGTACCGTGACGCTTATGATGACCAATCCACTCCAAGACCAAGACGACGACGAGCGCGTTGTCACCGATTGGAGAACTATCGCACATCGGGTTGATGCGATACGGAGACGTTGTGTACTCCCGTTTGGAATTGGTGGATATGGGAAAGTCGGTGCGTTCTCTCCCCCTCTCTCTTACTACCATTAGATATGCACCCTCTCCTATATCCTCTTGAGTCCTGTCCCTCAACCGCCTCATCCACATGACACCCTCCCGATCTCGTACAATCAACCCCTAACAATACCACAAAGGCGAGGGCAGCTGGGCCGGCCACCACGAACAATATCCCCTAACCATCCACGTCTGGGGTCCTCGCGCGCGCTTTCCCTCCGCCCTCGCAATCAGGTACCACTGCGTGACCGACGCGGCCGGCAACGAAATCTGCTCGTCCGACTCCCCACCATCTTCTTCTAGCCAAAACCCCAACAACCCGCCCACTGCCCCCGCCGGGGGCAAAATAGCAGCAGGCGGCACCTGCACCAGCCACGCCGATTGCGACGTCGCCAACTCCTTCATCTGTGCCGATTCCCACCCCTCCGCCGCCCTTATCGACAGCAGCTTCCGCGCGCCCGTCTGCACGGCGGTGAAGAACGCGGCGATGCTCTTCGCAGCGGGCGCGTTATTTCTGGAAAAGACGTGCCTCACGGGCCGGTGCCTGCTGGAAGACAAAAATGGGACGATCGATGCCATTGCGACTAGCGGGGACTTACCAAGCCATGTCACAGGCGAGCTTTATTGCCCGTGCAATTGTACGTATGTGAGTAGTGCGTGTTGTTTGAGTGAGATGGGCGTGGTGCATGAGGGACAGGGGGGGTCGGAGTTGGAGTGGTGAATGGGACATTGGAAGGGAAGAATAAGGGGGTGGGATTGAATGTGGCTAAGCAAATGCCGGCGCCGAATGGTACGGTGTGTTGTGAGGAGGGGACGGGGAGGTGGAAGATTGCGAGCGTGGTATCGGATCAGGCGCGTATATATCCGGTTTGCGATGACGGAAGTGGTTCTATCACTTTTCGAGGGAGGAGGTGATGTGTATTTGTGCCTCTGCATACTCTGTACTCTACTTAGAGCTATTATCAATGAATTCAAAAACACTGGACCCGAAGCAGACAGCTACGCAGCACAAAGCTCATCGCTGATTTTTTGCAGAGAGGGTACCTACATAAGCATTGATTGGAAGACGCTTTTTGGAGGTCAGTTAAATGTGTAACTCATTGAAACCGATCTGTATGCTTTTTGGACGCCTCCACGTCAGTCTCATCCTGTGACACCTTGTCATCATACGATAGCTAATACGATCGGAAGGTGGAGTGCCACAAGCAAGGCTTCGTGCACTCCATATGTCCCTCGGACCCTCGCAACGTCTTTAAAGAGGAACAGATGTCAAAACCTGTAACCTCAAATTCAGCATTATCGCCGTCAAGTGCTGCAAGACTCTATCGACTGAGAATCAGCTCTTCTGTAGACGATTCTTCCTCCTCCGATATATATTTTACACTACAACCTTCTGGAAGTCTAATGCCCCTCTGATGCAGCAAGCCTGCCAGACTGAAGTGTCTATTGAATGACGCCAACAGTAAAGCATTTCTCCGCTCTGACATGCTTCCTGCATTGGTGTCGGCTCCATGATCTACTAACTACTCTACGGCCTTTTCGTCGCCGGTTTCGGACGCTATTTGCAGTGTAGTTTCCATCGGGTCTAGGTCACCTTCGATGCGCTTGAGAAAATCCAGAGTACCTTCAGGACTTTGGATAGGTGCATTTGCTAATAACTTATCCCATGAAGGTTGTTGCCAGAATGTATTGATCCATCTTATGATTTCAATATCAAGCTTTGATATTAGCTAATCCTCTTGACCTCTTGCCTTAGCATTAGCAAGAAAATCTCCATCGAATATATCATATTCGCTATTGAGATCGGCCCCTCGATCTAACAGAAGTTCAACAACCTTGTTATTCTCTCTGCGTAGAGCTGCGAGCAAAGGATTATCACCACGCTCAGTTTTCGTACTAACGTCTGCGACGTGGTTAACCAAATGAATCGCGATACTAGTATAGTCCCAGGTATATGCTAGGTACAAGGCACTGCTGGACTGGCTGTCTAGTGCGTTGATATGTGCCCCAAAGTCAAGAACAGGGAACTGATGGTGTGGTAAGCTGATGTGCTTTTGATAAACGCTCTTTGCTTACAGAACCACGTTTATTTTCGTCTAAATAAAAGAACGCATTTATATTCAAACGCTGTTCCGGAAAATCCGATATTGCGGACCTTCCGTTGAGAAGCATCTCCCAGAAGCCTTCCAAATTTGACGCAGACTGTGGGAACTTGACAGACATGCCAATGATAGCAATCGGGGTGAGCTTGTCTTCTTTAGTAGCCCTGTTATCTACATTCTTGCTCTTGTTGTAACAAGAACAGCAGTGCTTATCTGCGAACTCTTCGTGAGTAGTATTAGCCGTATTGTGAAAGGCTATAATAAAGTAACGTTGACTAGAATGATTATCTATAAGACAATGAACGATACGTTCCAAGTCACAAAGGGAGAATCTCTTAGCTAAAAAGATAAGTTGTAGTGTGTCACCTAAGGATTGTACACTAAAGCGGTCACAGTTGCTTCGATCTATCTTGTTGCTGTAAAGGATGTTGCAAGGTCGCGTGTCCCTCGAGATCAAGGCAAAGTCCGAAAGTGCCACCTTTCTACACGAAAAAAAGGGACGTAGTAGCCAATGTCGTGATGTGGCACGAAAGGCTCTCAACTTTTTAGGCAAACAATTACTGACAACCAAATATCAGCTTGCAGCGGGGCTTTCTTCTCCGAGATTCGCCTCGCCAGGCTCTCTGTCTTCATTGCCAATAAGTTGGATGCAACATTTTAGCTAATCTTAGCTTTGTAGCCTTGGCGCCTTCTCACTTAGGTAGTATAACCTTTCAAGTGTGGCACTCGGCTCCAGCTTCTAGTTGAAGACTATAGATGCATGCTATGCCCCCCTCGCGCCTTAGGATTCTTCAGCTTGTTAGACGCTAGAGTGAAGCATAAGGCTGCATCTAATTGCGGCACCGGGCTTGATTTCGCCAGAGGGCAAATCACTTCAGCTAGAGCGGCAAGGATCACCAGTCACTAGTTGAGAGAAGGGAGTTGGTGGCCTAGAGCTTTGCACCCTCAGTGCGAGCTCTACTGCCCTTCGATTCCCAAAGGAGTAGTGACCAGCCGTAAGGCTTGAAGCTTCGAGCGGGGACTTTTCTACACGAAGGAGGGTTTCAGCCTCATGCACGGTAGTGGAGACCGAGATGGACTTCCTGCATGCTGCGGATGGCTGTGCCGAACGCAGGAAATACGTGTAGGCGCGCGAATCGTCCACAATGGTTTCTTTGAAGATCTCGGCAGATTGAACACCATTGTACATCTGCAGCCATTGCGTCACATCTAAGCGATTGCTTTGAGATGACTGCAACCACATGATTCGATGACTGGTTGGAAGGGAGCGGAGTGCTGCCATCATGACTCTTACCGTCACCATAAGCCAATACACACACCGAGCTTCATACTATTACAAAATATATTGTGTAATTGTCGATCTAATTCCCACTCACCGTCTCACTGCCACATCTGTGCATATATAACTGGACTTGAGATCTTTGTACTTCTTCTCTTGCAGGCCGTTCCAATATCGACTAAAACAGGAGATAAGGTTTTTGTGTCTTCATGGACGGGGTACTAACAGTGAGGTTAGACTGCATCTGCTTCACTAAGGGCAATAATAGGATACATATATTGACAATACTAGATTATAGATTTATGTAGCACAATCAGGTATGTTGGCGTGCGATTTGTTAAAACGTTTGCTAGTCATAGATTCATTAGAAGTCGCCGCTCTTCGATACCAATTAGGCAATTAGCATACTTATGAGTTTGTGGATGGATCGATGACGTGGCTAAGGGTTTCAGGTTCAACTACGTTTATATTGTTAAGTAGTTAAGATTTTAACATTTTTCATTGAGCTCAAAGCAATATTTGACCCGGAAACCGAGTATTATGCCTGCTTTAACCCGACATCGGTTGACACTATCTAGGCAGCGCTTTAGGACCTTAAGGACTTCGTAGCTACTGATGGACCTTTTAACAGAGTCATGGCATTTTCCCACGGAGCTGCGCTAGCTGCTTTGATGCTTGCCGAAGATGCAGCAAGGCTCCCACAGGACTAGCTGCAGCCTTTCAAATGCGCGATATTCCTATTAGGGATTATTCCATGCGACTATAAAGCTTTTGAAAAACGAAATATTCGATGGCTCGACTCAAAGGGCAATGTTGATCTAGTCAAAATTCCGACTACTTATATTTGGGGCTTCAATAATAGGTATATCCCTGGATATAGCGAGGTACTAAGTAAGCTCTGCAGGGAAGATATGAGATATATTTTCGTTTACGAGGGAGGTCATGAATTACTAGCGACTGAAGGTAAAAGATTGATGGAGGCTGCCAATGCAATTTGGAAGACTGTTGGCTCTGTGGTGCCGCCTTTATTAAAGACAAGCGAATTTGTTGAACTGAATTGAATCTTAGTAGATTAAACCTCTAGAAAGACATTTGCACCCGTGGCTACAGCTACAAATTGCGCTTCTTAGATATTGCGTGTGAATAATTTGAAATGGCGGGACATCCCTCGATCTTGTCTCTCCACGATATACGGCGGTAGTACCAGCAGGGCCGCAATATTGATGCCACTTATCCCTTGAATGACCTTATAACTGTACATTGCTGACGTGAATTGCCTGTGAAGAGGGAATATTGCTGACCAAGATAGCATCCACGGCCTAAAAAAGGGGCTAAAGTAGAAAGAAACATGGCGCCTATCAAGTCATTATTTTGGAACGCTTATTGGGGGCTCATCTTTTGGCGACAGAATTCATTTTACTGTCTCATGACTGGAAACCTTGCCGGGACTGCAACCAGCAGTAGGACTAGCGCATGAACTTCGACGGCACACTAATTGTGTCAGTCAGTAATTATGCCAATGATCTCGCCGCATCGAACGTATCGGCTTCGACATGCGCATCAGCTACCTACTTATACCTCGCCTATGCAAATGGACCCAAAACGGATATATAGCCAATAGCCTTGCCATTAAAAGAGTTGGTGGAGACGGCACTTTTGTGCCCGTACCTAGTCGAATCCGCCTAAACGCTATGATACTGCAGCTCATAGAGTTCGGAGATTGTTGCAATCTCTTTCCCAATCAATTTCCCCAAACATTCTTCAACCTATCGGACGTGGTTTGAAGTACATCCAGCGGTAGATCCGTCCAAGGCGCCGCTACAGCGAGTGCCGTTTGCAAAAGCCGGCCTCCTTTATCGCTATGTATCTTTATATATGTATAGTAAACCCGACGTTTCGATAGCATCGAGGAGTAAGCCCCGTTTGCACGTGGAAATCCTCTATGCTGAGTGATAGGCGCCTCAGTCAGATTGGCTACCGACGCTGCATGTCAGATGCTTGCGCCTCTAAATCATGTAGTACTCGTAGGCACCTGCCTTTAGCCTACAGGTCCTGCAGCCTTACATAAGTTTCAAGATACGATGAGGAAGGATTATTGAGCACGAAGTTCGGTGAGAACTCAACGTGCAGGGTGGAGTAGCATAACAGGTAGGAAATGGTAAGCCAAACGCATGACAATCGCCGCCTAGGAAAGCGCAAGCCGATCTATGGACAGTAAAACTCGCATAGAAGCTGTGCCTTGGCAAGGCAGTTTACGCCTATTATAGAGGCTTCGGCGAGCATGAGGCAAAGCCATTTGCATTACTATGTCGACTTTTCGCCAACATGACTCGGCAGCTTTGTTCAAAGAGATATACTGTCACGGACGCTCTAGGTAGTCTGAACTTCGTCACTTCATAAGAGTTGGATTCAATCTCACAAATGCTCCTGAACGCCAATGCTAGGGGGCCCTAGGATCCGGGATTGCCTTCCTAATCATTGCTATTCTCGTTATCGCACTTCATTGTAGGCTAGTCGATAAATTCTGGTACCCGCAGAAACAAGGACATTGCTACAACTTCTCAAAATTCATTCTAGGTATTTTAATAATTGATATCATCCTAGATGCAATGATTCTAGGGCTACATATCTGTCCGCTTTTGAACCTATAGATGGCAAACAGCCGCAAATTACTGCTCTACGCAATATTCCTCCTTGGGGGCTTGTAAGTACTCCGCATGAGCGATAGGGTTCAAGGACTAATGACCAGAAAGCGTCGTGATCACAGGTATTGTGAGACTCTGCTTCACTTATCTCCCGAATTCAAACCTTTATAAGTCTAGTCTTACTTCTGTAAACAGCCGACCTCTGCCCGCGCTAAAAGAATGGCAGTAGACTTCTCACGTGGCGAGCTTTGGACAAATATCTATATGGGTACAGCAATACTAGATGCATGTCTTCTAGTATTTCGACTAGCGATAATATGTCTCGGAGAATTTGTTTCAAGCCTTGGCTCTCAATTGACATCTCGTTTTCCGAGCCGTAACTAGCTAGGCGACTCCGCCAGGATCGACGGTGATTATACTATGGGGAATTCTCGGAACGACCCGAGATAGTAGCAAACGCTTGGTGAAGCTAGTATGAGACGTGATCGCTCTCACCAAGCGTATTCCGTACATGCATTAGAAGGCAGCAGTCTCGATAAAGGTAGCTTTTTAGTACAGGACCATATCACGGCCGAGAGGGACGTAGAAGTAGCGTAGCGTTTGATTAACTATGTTTCAAAGGCTTTGGACTTCTGAAAAGTTGGCAGAGTTTGTTTGAAGCTTGAATGGGTAAGAGGTGCGTATTAATCAACTGTTCTACATGGGTTGTTCTACTTGGGTCCGTCAAAAGACAATGTTCGTACCTGTCTCTATGAGCCAAATCGTATTCAGATGATTTGCCGCGTGCAAAACCTTGAAGACCCTTTGATTGCTGCATAATTCCCTACAGTCAACCCCCCAGATTCAATTGCACCAATTCGCTCTCGCGCCATGAAAAAGATAATAACCTAGATACCCCGTCGGAACCCAGGGTGGCCCACCTTTACACTCCTGCTTGGCAAAAAACTCATAGAACGAGCAATTCTGGCCTTCCGTAAACTCCGTACTCCCATCCTTCAGATTCCACGTACAGAGTTGCAAGTTCGACAGACAAGTCGTGACGACGCTTCCGGGGGTCTGCACCGTGTCCGGACCAGGGATCTCGCCTTTGGTGGAGTTCCATCCAATGGAGCAGAGTTGAGAGCCCATGATTAGATTGTCTGGCGTAGTGAGGCCGAGGTCGAAAACTTGGTGGATCTGCTTGGACCAGCTTTCGTGTTCGTGCGTGCGGTCTGGTTGCAGCAGGGAGTACGCTACGTTGTTGCCGTTCTCAGAGTAGTGCCACCAGTCGTTGCACATGCCGTATTTATCGTAAGAGGGGCAGTTGATGAGGTCTCTATCGAAGCCGGTGGAGCCGTTTGTGAAGAGGGCTTGAGGGTCGGTGTCTACTTGGCGGGCGATGATGAAGCCGTCGTTTTCTAGCATTTGGGAGAGGACGAACATGTTGATGCCGGCTTTGAGGGTGTCGGTCATTGTTTGTTGGTCTACGGGCTCGGAGTAGTAGTAGCCGAAATGTGTCCATTCTGCGAAGGCGGTGACATTACCAGGGATGTCGACGGCGACCGTGACCATTGTTGTCGCGAGGCCCTCAATCAGGTCTCCCAGCTTGGCTTCGATGTCTGCAGACGACATGAGGGCATGGACACCGTCGTCTGAGGCTTGAGGGACCAGGTGGCCAATCAGGGCAGGGGACTGTTGCGCGCCACGTAGCACGTACTCCCACGGTGACTCTCCCAGCTTTTCTCCAGAAGCTAGTAAAGGGTACCGCTGATGATGCTGCAGCTTTGCCAGCATCGCCAAGCGCTGTGCTTGTGATTGATCCCAGCCCTTTGCCCCAACCACTTGGGCTGATCAAGCCTAGCGCAAAGGTCAAGACGTACAACAAGATCATTGCCCACTCTGGAAGGCCCTTTTGAGGTTGAATGAATGTGTCGGACATATTCCACACCTGTTGCCCTGCCAGAAAGCCGCTGCGGTAGATGGCGTTGTAGTATGTATCCGCCCAGATAGCGAAGTTGTAGATGTTCCAAGCAACGTAGAAGTCTAGTGTGCTGTTCGAGCTAGTGAAGTCGTTGTGATCCGGCTTCTGGCAATACCAATTCCCGCCAAGATCGGTGCAATTGCTCGCGTCATACTTGCGACTTGGTACACGGTCGAAGAAGCAGTTGGCGAAAGTGACTTCATGTTTCTCGCACTCGGCCGAGTTCTCGTCCCACCACCAGAGCATATGATCTTCTATAGGCAGTACTTCAGCGCAGTTATCACCAGCGGAGTCTGCGTCGGGGCCGGGATATCCATAGTGATATTGGAAGTCGGTACAGTTGGAAAGCATTGCCGCTTTGTACCTGTCTTGGCCAGCGTTGATGGCGCTTTGGATGTTTACTTCTGACTTGTGACAGTCTGGTGGGCCCCATACTGGACAATCTGAGCCAGTCGCTACAGTTGTAGTGGCGGGCGGCGCGGTTGCGTAGCAAGGCCCCTGAAAGAGCGAGGCCGGCGTTGTTCCGATCGTGTTCTGGGGGTAGGATGGCCCGTCATCACATTGACAGATGCTGTTTCCACTGAAATCCGGGTCTGAACTGGACGTACATTAGTCTTGGATGCAATTCTATGAATTTTAAGTTCTGACTCACAATGGGGTGCAATGGTGGGCCAAGTACCAGAGTTGCGAGGCGGACGAGGATGTAGATGTCGAGGATGCAGCAGTGGAGGATGCGGTCATCGACGTGAGACTGGATACTGAACCGGGTCGAGCTGTTGTCGATGTTAGTGCCGAAGAAGTTGAAATGATCTGCGATGAGTTTGGACGAGCGAACAACAATAAGCTCGCGCTGCACAAAATCGCACGAAGTTCGTGAAAGAGCATGGTGTAGGAGCGTGAAGCGAGAGACCTCCATGATGCGTGAGAACATGAGCTCCATGTTATATTCGGGTTGATGCCCTAACTACTGTAAAAAGACAGTGGCAATATTACTCAATCGTGATCATCGTGAATGGAACTGTCGCAATCTCTGAAATTATGACGGTTAGCGCTAGAAGAGCATGTTGCTGCTCTCTATTCTCTATGAACATTCTTTGGTCAACCCATCGTAGTCGCAAGGCCAGTCTTAAGCCCACGTGCGTCCACACGTGGGGCATCACTCGTACGTAATTTGCGTGAAACCAAAGCAGGAGGAAGCGTGCAAGTTTATGTATAAACAGGAGAGTTATTTAGTTGTGTTGACGCTTTGTTGGATAGGTATGTTGGGTTGATTGAAAGGACTAACAGAGAGATGGTTCCTGAGGGAAAATTCCATAGTTGTGTTGGTTATTGCGGCGCGGATCGTTTTGGCCGGAAGGTTGTCCGCTGATCTTGGTACGCTGGGCAAAGCTTGATCTAGGCTTGGTCAGGGCCATGTTGGACAATCCTCGAGCAACAGGAAATAGTAATAGAGTTGAGGCTCATAGCAACGACGCCCCTTGTCATAGTCGCAAAGCAAAATCGCTGTTGGAATCCATCTGCCACTAGCCCCCACGCCTTTCCTGAAGCCATGAAATCGTCTATGCAGACGAACGGAGATGTTGGAGCTCAGTTTGGTCGTCTGCCTAGTGTTCGCGCAATCATGGGCGACATATCAAGTGGGTGAGTAGGCGAAGATAACGCGGAAGAAATCGTGACTTAGTTATACAATCTGTCGACAATGTATAAACTTCTTCCTTTAGGGCGTCGCAGGACTTTGATGAATCGATAGCGTATGCCTGAGAGGCTAAGCGAAGCTCGTTGAGGTGTCATCAGAGCCAGGAAGCCCAAACCGCTATGCGATCCTAATCCTCAGCCGGTTGCCCCAATCCTAATGAGTATCCCAACTGCATTCGTTCGCCTGGCTATTCCGGGAAACACTGGGTGTGAACGGCTGCTTAACACTCAAATGCTGCGACCAGCATGTGATTTTTCCAGTTCCCAGTGGTTTTGCGCAAAAGCGTAGGTAGTCAGCGTGTCGGCCTCTACCACGATAGCGACGAAACTCTAGGTACAAGTCCAGCTCAGTCAAAGCTGGGGAACATGTTCGAGAATTCCATGAGATAGTAAGGCAATGTGCTGAAGTCGACTCAATCTCCCTCGTGTTGAGGTAAGAGGTCTTCTAGTTAATGTGTTAATAATATTACGATCCGGACAGTTGCATAATTATTCTAAGATCTCTCAGCTAGGGAAAATCATCACATAACATTCCATTCTGCAAAGCATATAAAAGAGTTGTTGAGCATATGTAGGACAGCTTCTTATTCAACTAGTTAAGTAGATGAGAAGAGCAGTAGATAGATTTGCGAACAGTCCTAGATGAAAAGGGAATGCTTAACCCACTTGGGCTCATAGTGACCTGCTAGGCACGGCTTTGAGTCTCTAGGTACTCTGAGACGATGATTGTGCTTGACATCAGTATTAAAGGAAAAAAGAAGTCTTTAAAGACTTTTTTTTTCAGCTCGAAAGTCTTGGCACGGGCCAAGACGCTAGAGGAAGCGGCATTAGTTCCGTCCTCGGCAGTCTTGGCATATCTACATCATGATTGACCGATCTATTGTATGTAGTATTGGAGCTCACTGCACGCATCCCTCCATCTCCGGCGAAATCATCTTGTCGCCAACCGCTAGCCGTCACTCACTCGCTGGCGATTGAGGCACTGACGCTCTTTTCATAAAGTCTCCGTATCAAAGGAGGGCCGCCTCAGAGCCTCCTCCCTCCCACCTCTATCCTGCCTGGCCAAAAGCCTCGTTGTACACTAGAATGAGTTCACGCTGCCCTGAAGATATCAAAGAAAACTAGTGCATCGATCTGTTGAGCGTCTCTGAACCAATGCTTATAGGGATCGGTCGATGATGTGATTCCCCGTGGCTTTGGGAGACAAGCTCGCCCGCGTCGCGGTATCGTGCGACATTATTTTCGCTAGGTAATACTGGTGTTTGCGGCGGATTTTGACTCAGTATCTGCAGTGTATACTTGCCATGTTGTCGTCGGGACCCAAGAAAGTGCGGCGTTACACCCGGGGAAGCTGCGCACTTGCCGTAATTGCGGAGTGTCTCGGGACAGCGAAAAAAAAGAGACAAGTTGGAGGAAGAGAAATATACAGTCGAATACATGCCATGTGAGGGCCTAGAGGCAGAGTAATGCCAGCGAAACCAGGAACTTTCGCCAAAATATTGGGGCTCGTATGGACATTATTCGTCCTCACAGCGATTAACCACTTCAATGGCCCAGAAATGTGCAAAGGGTCTACAAAGTCGGATGCCGCAAGCAAGAGAAAAATCCAGAACAAGACATGACATATATGTCAGATTGAAGGATCGATACAGGCTGAGAAGAACGCTCTTCCTCGCATCATGTCATCCCTCCTTGGGACCTAAGTACGAGAAGCTGGCCCCACCGCGGCCTTCGTCTTGTGTCATTCTCCAGATGTCACCACCACCGTCTTACTCTTGGGGATCGTATTCGAACACCATTGCTTCTTTGTTTGACCAGGCCTACGCTTTGGCCTTGAGCTCAGCATCCAATTCATCGCCTTCAACACTGGATCCAGAACGCCCACTTGATACACACCCAACGAAGCCATGTAATACGCCATTGGCCGAGCTTAATGGAAGCGTCATCTTCACTCTGCGAGCTGTAGATCGATCTGGAATACAGCCCATGAGCTCTCCCCAGTCGCCAGGACTTGAGGAGGGTCGCCTCACGATCAGCATATTGTCTTGGATCGAATTTCCACTGCGCCGATACGGCCGCATTTCCCTGGCTGGCCTCTTCCAAACATCGCCCCTCCCCCGGTTGCTAGACACGGCTCTTTCCCAGTCTTCCTCCCTTCTCAATGGTGTATGGTCGACGACGAATTGTGTGCACCACTGACTCGGCCAGTATGGACCACCTTTTCGATGGTGGTCGTGCTCAAGTCTCAATCTGTTGCTGTCGTGCAGAAATGAATCATAGTAGGTGGTCATGAGATCGACATCACAGTCGAGCTCTACATGCGCCATACTCGGGGTGCAATGATCATTCGGACCGAGATGCCACTGATAAGTGGACTCCTGGGAGGTCGACGTGCTCCATATTCTCTGCCAGAATCGCTCCGTTGTCCTCGAAACGGAGGCTTCGAACGGCCCTTGGCTCGCACCGAGGGAAACAGTCGTTTCGACACGAAAACTCTCCTGAGTTTCGTACCTCTCCTCGACCCTGAATGACACCCTGGGAGAGCAGGGAACGCCACTGCAAAAGATGGGGGTTGCTAAGGGCTTCACGCCATTGATCACGGGCCTGCATAAGGCTGTCCAAGGAGCTCTGATATCAACATTCTCGGTGACTCCAACGAATGCCCTCCAGTTCCGCCAGACAACGTGTGAGTCGACACCGTCTCTGAATTGAGGGAGATCTCTCGCTGAGGCAGGTAGTGGATTCAGGAAGACTCGTCTCACTTCCTCGATGAAGGCGCTGGTGTTTACAGGACCAGTGCCTGAGAAAGGAACGTGAGACTCGTTTCCTAGCGCATTGAGAATTGAGTCAAGCTGGACGTGTTCAATGTCGTCTAAGCTTGAATCTGCAGTTGCCGGTAAAGCGAAGCTTTTGGTTGGTAATGCCAATACCGCCAGTAGAGCATGACTGGAAATAAATTTCATTCTCACGAACTTCCGTGGGCTATTGATATTAAAAGTGAAGCACTATGACACTAAAGGACGTGTAGAATTTACAGGCTTTACAACCGGCGAGAAAGCTGCTCAAAGGATTAAAAAGGAGTAATGTGTCTTTTGAAAACCCAGAAGATGCTCATATTTCTACAAAAAAAAAACAGAGTGGAAGAAGCTACATTAGCTCACCGAGGTCTTCCGTGGATGACCACACATTTGCTTGGTGAAGCCACCACTGAAGGTGATTGTTCACAGTATTCCTGCTGAGAAGTGTATCGCATCTACTACGGCTGAGTTCCCCTCTCTGCCTCAATCCAAGCGCTTCAATGAAGACGCTTCATCGGGGAGAAAAGTCGTATTCATTGCATACAATACGTGCCTCACCTTTGCATGCATCTCTCAGGGTCTCATTTGAACGAACAGCAAAAGGCTAATATAAGGAACGAAGGCTGCGCAATGCAGCTGTTGAAGTTCAGTATACGTAGACTACTGTAGGGGATGGTTCGTTCAGATAGATCCCGCCTTCTTATGCACCCCGCTCTGCATGCACGTATTGCGGGGTTGATTACAGGTATGCATGCATACCCAAGGATGTGTCATGGTCCGGACCGAACGGTTCCCTGGCGCCAAAGGCTGATATTTGATCTCCACTGAATGCAACGAGTTCAGTCACTCAAACGGCCAAAGACCCTGCTTTCATCACCACTCAGTTAGAAGCAAGTAACTGAGACAGTAGCACCCTCATCTATGCATAAGAATGTGTCACCATGCGGGGAAAGTGCGGGGAAGTATGCGAGAATTGGCCGACATACATCAAGTCTATGAAGTCCCTGCTAAGCATGTAGTTCGATCTAGTCGTCGCTGCCATGTTTGACAGGGGAGATCTGCTCGGTGCAGCTTTAGTAGGGATTGGTTCGGAAACAGCAGTGGCTTCAGCGATAGTAGTGGAGGTGGCGCTGTCGCCCATGCCGCCGCAGTGGAGGCTAGCGTAGAGGTTGGTGTTGCTGCTGCTAGCGGGGGAGAGAAGGGGAAATGGGAGAGTTCTACCTGGGGATGGTCGATCTGCTTAATATGGCGATATCATGGGCCAGGCAAGATGAGACCGTCGCAAGTCGTTGCTTTATAGTTTGCGGTGAAGTTTTACTAAGATTTAGATTTTGTTAGCTTCTAAGACGATAGTAATTTGTCGAAGGAGAAAGGGGAAAGTAGTAAAGACGTTGTTGGTCGCAAGAAGCTCTTGCATGCTTGACTTGCGCTATGACAGACGACTATGACTTTCTTCTTCTCTACGTTATGAATATCACATCAATTTCTCCAATCATACCTACTTCTAATGAGTCATTGTATTTTGCTCTACAGAGACCTGCCTATCCCCTGGCCGCCATACTCAACACCACCTTCCCCACCTCATTAAACCCATCCGTAACCACCACCTCCATCATCTGCCTCGCGTCTACCGCCGCCCGTAACCACAGATCCTCGATGCCGATCAAGGCGCTCGACAATACCCCATAAGTCAACTGGTGTCCATTCGAGTTAAACGCCTGAATAGTTTGCCCTATCATGCCCGTCGCGGTCCAGACCACAACTCCATCCGCTGCAGCCATGTCGATGACACCGTCGTTCTCGCTGGCCCAGTGCGCCAGGTTGTACGCCTCGCGCTCAAGAAAGACTTGCCAAGCGCGGCCGAGCCCCGTCGCGATAGCGGAGCCGATGTATGAAACGCCGAGAGAGATGGCGGAGAGGGGGACGCAGTAGGTGCCGCCGACGTCGTTGCGGCGGGGGAGAGGGGGTTGGCGGCATCGGTAGGAACGGGCAGGGTGTCGATGTCGTGGTGAGGGTCTGTCATGGGGGAGGGAATGACGTCGGGGCCAGGGGGAGCCTGCACGGGCCATGGCGTCGTTTTTTGCCTCGAGCTGTAGTGGGACGGGGTTAGTTGATGATAGTCATGGGTCGAAAAAGGAACAGGCCTGGAAAGCTTGCTTGCCTTCCTGGTACGACGCCGGGGAGATTTGGGCAAAGACGCTGTGGACGAGGGATAGGGAAGACTTGGGGTGCAGCCCAAGTCGAATTCAGAAAAATTGTAGTGATAGCGAGAAAACTTGTTGTCGAAAAGCAAAGCCATGATTGTCGATGCATGATGATGAGAGTTGGGATTGCTTGCCAATCTGGCTTGAGTCTTATGCAGCTATGAATTAGATGCGAGATCACTACCAGCGAGCAGAGGGTTTTTTGTCGGACCAAGATGATGATAGTGATAAGCACATTGTGTTTTTATATCACATGGCAGTGGGTGCGCATAAATCCAACAAGAGACGGCTCGGTACGGAGCTACCTATTTCCCTATTCAGACCATGATATTGTTTGACCAGCGGGACGGCCTGCTAATGCGGCTCGTTTGATGCAGCGGCTGGTTTCGCGCATAACCGCTGTAACGTGCTTAACGTCTAAATTACCCTGTGATTGTTACATTTCTTAAGCTGTACCTACGACAATGCACTCGTTGTATCCTCCCCCTGCTAAAAAAGTCGATCGATGCTAGCGTCTCTGCGTGAAATTGGAAGAGCTGTCTCTTGTACTGGTAGCTGGGCATTTTGCGAATTCTTCTCAGCTTTGCAAGAGAGTGCGGCCAGATCGGTAGTCAAATGCTTTCGCTCGATTTTCAAGTCACTAGAAGGAAGATTGTAAATATCAGGACGAAATCTGCGTACGCGAGCGAAGGAATGCACTGTAAGAGGGCTGAAAAGTCACAAGAAGACAAAAGGGAGAACACGTACGTTTGATATCTTTGTAGATGAAGTGATAACTCTCCTCAAGCAAGAAACTCTCTTGAAACGGAAATGTTGCCTATGACTTGACCATTTGCAGTTAAATGGATACTTCTCTGGGTAAAGCAGTGCTTTGTCATTGAAGAAGGAAGCAGTCTTTGAACTTTATACGTGCACAGGTCGATAATCTTGTTGAATGGTTCCGAAAAAGGAAATACAATTATGTCGCAGCATTTGCTATTAGCGACATCACGCTGTAGATGTTCAAAAACGCCTTTCAGGATCTCTATCTCATCGTGCATCGCTTCAATTGGCTCTTTGCAGCACTTGCATGAAGAGTGGCAATTGCGAGAACAATTGCAAGACTGTATACTCGAAGGTGCCAGTCCAGCGACAGATGTCCGAAATGTCTTTTTCAATGCAACCCTTGAATCTTACCGGAGAAGGAGTGACTGGATCTCATTCTTTAGAACATGACCAGACTTCGCGATTGCGAGTCGCCCAGAAGACTCCAACCTAGCGATCCTCTGTCAAATCACATGAAAAACTTTTTGTTACATGTTTCCTAGTGAAGTCTTAGTAGGCCAATCAATTTCCTACTTCGGGACAGTTGAAAGTTAACTAAAAGTAGCTGGTTGGTAATGTTATGATATGGTTCCCCGAGCTTTTCAGGTCCTTCATGCATAGACGGATGCTTTATTAGGGTATAAGTAACATTCTCCACTAAGAAGCACAACTCGGATATGAACTCTGTCCGAAGTACAGTAAGGCTGCGTTTCAATTATGTTTCGAGCGCCACGAATGCAGCCCTATGTATGAAGTCCTTGTTGCGTTTGCGTCGTCGTCCAATCAGTATGGCTCACATTATTCGCCGCATTTTCAGTGAGATTATTGGCAAGGAAAAGGCTGAAGGATTCAATTCGGGTGCTTGAGGCCTGCAGGGGGTGGCACTCTTTGAGGAATATTTGAGCTCCCTAGATGCCGAATCGCTTCTTTAGTCTTCGAAGATACCGGTGATTTTGGCATTGCAAGCGACATTAATCCTCAGTCTCTAGAATGATGCAATCAAAGAGTCAGCGAGCGCCAGAGATGACAGGTAACGGGACAGCAGCCAACCAGCATGCATATCATACAGATCCGCTTCTCAATGACAAAAATTCCACGACAACAACATTGGATAGTAGTCATTCGATCAACGTCTTCGACACTTTTTGGCTATGGGAAATTCTCGCCTGTGTCTTGAGCTTCATTTGCATTGGCGCTTTGATCGGCCTACTCCTGCACGAAGACCAAAGACCTCTTTATGACTAGAATGTCCGCATCTCACCTGACGCCGTCGTCTCATTCATTGCTGCGCTGGCCAGATCATCATTCCTGCTCGCAGTCATGCAGGTCATTTGACAACTTGAATGGGTTCACTTTCACACATCGTCACACCGGTTAACAGACTTTCGGTTGTTCAATGAAGCGAGTAGAGGGTCTTGGGGCTCATTGAAGCTGCTGCTATTAAAGAATGGTAGAACCGTAGCTGCATCGCGTGCTGCTATTGTAGTGTTGCTGGCTTTGCTGGTTGACCCTTTCGTGCAACTAGTTATTATATTCCCCTTGAAAAGGGGTTTGGCGCCTAAAGTGAGGGCAGATTTTTTTAGGCACAACCATCCATGATCCAAGTGAGCTGCCTATGGATAACGGGATCTCTAACTTGAAAAGTGAACACGTCCGCGCGGTGCCGACAACGGATCATTGTGGTGGACTTGCTAAGTATGAGAATACACGTGGCATGAAGAAAACGCTGGTGCTGAGCTCCGTCGCATTCATCGACGGAATGTCAAAAGTCACTCGTGCAAAAGACCTGTCAGCTCGATGCCCCTACGTTGTTGATGTCCACTGCCAGCTGCAAAGGGTTAGGTGACGAGCGTGAACCAGATTTGGCAGGCCCACTAATAACATCACTGAACAATGCCCTAGACCTCGCATCTCAATATCCTCAAATCCGTGTGACCAAAAGTGATCATCCGTTCCCTGCTATATCCTATCCTCATTATCTTAACCTCCCTCTTCTATTTCATACTACTCCGCCGAGAAGTCGTGGGACAAGAGCTCGGGAATGCCACGCACGACGCGACGGGCGACGGGCTTCAGTCACAAGCATCAACCCTTACGGACGCACGACATACAAGCTGCTTGACTCTAACAATGAGACTAGGCATATCATCATATGCG